CATGGGCTTTGACAATCTGAACATTCTGGACTGAAGAATTGACAGTTTGATATCTCTTAGACATGGGCTTTGACAGTCTGAGATTTCTGGACTGAAGAATTGACAGTTTGACATCTCTAGACATGGGCTTTGACAGTTTGAGGTTTCTGGACTGAAGAATTGACAGTTTGATATCTCTAGACATGGGCTTTGACAGTCTGAGATTTCTGGACTGAAGAATTGACAGTTTGACATCTCTAGACATGGGCTTTGACAGTTTGAGGTTTCTGGACTGAAGAATTGACAGTTTGATATCTCTAGACATGGGCTTTGACAGTCTGAGATTTCTGGACTGAAGAATTGACAGTTTGATATCTCTAGACATGGGCTTTGACAGTCTGAGATTTCTGGACTGAGAATTGACAGTTTGACATCTCTAGACATGGGCTTTGACAGTTTGAAATTTCTGGACTGAAGAATTGACAGTTTGATATCTCTAGACATGGGCTTTGACAGTCTGAGATTTCTGGACTGAAGAATTGACAGTTTGACATCTCTAGACATGGGCTTTGACAGTTTGAGGTTTCTGGACTTGAGATTTGACATTAACATATAGGCATTACTTGAAACTTACAAATCCTATAAACATTTCTAGACTTGAAATGATCTGTTAGTTAAGTATCTGTTTTCAATCATTGAAATATCATTTCTTTCCTGGCACTCTGTTCTAGAGAGTACATGGGATTATAATAATGGTAGAACAAATGTTCAAGATTGTTAATATATTGGATGTTGCAGTTGAAGCTGGCAGACTACATAAATGCAATCTTTGAGAATGTGTTGGATGATAACCGTGTACCACCAGTGATCTGCTACTTTTTTAAAATGTTGGAGGAAATGGCAAAGGAACATGGTGTTGACCCAGACATTGTTACCCACTGGAAAAGTGAATGGTGAATACATCTCCTACGCAGGATTAATTCAACACAAAATAAGGCTTGCTGAAATCTTTAATTGCCATAGTCTTTCCTAAGTATAAAACAAAGATGTTTGATGATTTTTTTCTTACACTGTTAACATTGTAATATTGAACACTCAGCTGACATTCCATACTAAAAGCATGGCTAAGAACACTTCTGTTGGTCTTGTGGTTAACATTTCTTCAAAAAATCTCTTAATTTTACATGGTAATGTCACATCATCATGACCTAACCTTGGGGTGTGTTTAACGGACTTTCCTTGGAGCAAGAGTTTGTGAGAATCTGTGTCTATATCAGTCAGTCTGTATCAGACTTTGTCAGTAGGTCCGTGTCTATATCAATCAGTCTGTATCAGACTTTGTCAGTAGGTCTGTGTCTATATCAATCAGCCTGTATCAGACTTTGTCAGTAGGTCTGTGTCTATATCAATCAGCCTGTATCAGACTTTGTCAGTAGGCCTGTGTCTATATCAATCAGTCTGTATCAGACTTCGTGGGTAGGTCTGTGACTATATCAGTCAGTCTGTATCAGGCTTTGTCAGTAGGTCTGTGTCTATATCAGTCAGTCTGTATCAGACTTTGTCAGTAGGTCTGTGTCTATATCAGTCAGTCTGTATCAGACTTCGTGGGTAGGTCTGTGTCTATATCAGTCAGTCTGTATCAGACTTTGTCAACAGGTCTGTATATCAATCAGTCTGTATCAGACTTTGTCAGTAGGTCTAAATCTCTTTATCAATACTTTTCAAGTTTTATTGAACAATAAATTTATTGCAACAAGTTTATTACACAAATTGAGTAACACCAGCGTGGTGTACTTCAAATTGTTTAACATATGAATATTTTATGTGATAAATGCATACAATATTGATACGTTTCTGGGTTTGCAATGAGAAAAGACTGTAGTATATTTTATTTGAGTTAACAATGTTTTGTTTACAGTTATGCGATGAGGATTTGGTCGTTATGGATCAGCCGTCCAGATCTCCTGTTTGACATTGTCCTGGCAAAGCATGTCATACCCTGTCTGGATGTTGTCAGATCTGTCTTTAGTGATGTCTTCTCCCAAACCTCTTCCAGACTCACCAAGGTAGGTTGTTCAAACAATTTTATCCTCTTTCAAATTAACACAAGTAGGTCACTTAATTCTATTTCACTCAGAAAAGAAAGTCATGCAAACAAGTTCAGCCATTTCCAAACTCACTAAAGTAGATTATGTAAACCATATCAACCTTTTACAAACTCACTAAAGTAGATTATGTAAACCATATCAACCTTTTACAAACTCACTAAAGTAGATTATGTAAACCATATCAACCTTTTCCAAACTCACTAAAGTAGATTATGTAAACCATATCAACCTTTTCCAAACTCACTAAAGTAGATTATGTAAACCATATCAACCTTTTCCAAACTCACTAAAGTAGATTATGTAAACCATATCAACCTTTTCCAAACTCACTAAAGTAGATTATGTAAACCATATCAACCTTTTCCAAACTCACTAAAGTAGATTATGTAAACCATATCAACCTTTTCCAAACTCACTAAAGTACATTTGGTCACTTAAACTTTTACCAAACTCATAAATGAGGTCAATTCAACCTCTTCCAATCTTGCTAAAGTAGGTTACTTCAACCTTTTCTAGTCTTACTAAAGTAGGTCACTTCAACTTCTTCTAGTCTTACTAAAGTAGGTCACTTCAACATCTTGTAGTCTTACTAAAGTAGGTCACTTCAACCTCTTCCACTCTTGCTAAAGTAGGTTACTTCAACCTTTTCTAGTCTTACTAAAGTAGGTCACTTCAACTTCTTGTAGTCTTACTAAAGTAGGTCACTTCAACATCTTGTAGTCTTACTAAAGTAGGTCACTTCAACCTCTTCCACTCTTGCTAAAGTAGGTTACTTCAACCTTTTCTAGTTTTACTAAAGTAGGTCTCTTCAACCTTCTCCAGTCTTACTAAAGTAGGTCACTTCAACCTCCTCCAGTCTTACTAAAGTAGGTCACTTCAACCTCATCCAGTCTTATTTAAGTAGGTCACTTCAACCTCTTCCAGTCTTACTAAAGTAGGTCACTTCAACCTCTCCCAAAATTAGTAAATTAGGTTACTTAAACATGTTCCAAACTTAATAATAAAGTTAGTCACTTCATTCTTTTGGAAACTCACCAAGATGAAGGTTAATTAAAGTTATTCCACTCACCAAAGTAGGTCATTCAAACATTTCAGACCTTTTCCAAATTTATCAATGTAGATCAATCCGAATCTCCAACAAACCTTTTACATACTGTCAGCAATGAAGTGTTTATTCTAAGCTTTAATGTTAACATCATTTCAACATTATTCAACATCATATTAAATTGATAGTACACTGCCTTAGTTGCGTTATGACTTTTCTGTCTGAAAGTCAGATAATTCTTCAGGATTATGATGTTCAATGTTATGTTGTATTGCAGGATTCTTCCTCAGCCAAACTTTTGTTTGCCAATGATGTTCCAAAGTTCCAGGAGAAGATGAGAAAGTTTTATGAGAAACTAAGTGTGAGTTGTGAACCTGTGACAAAACAACAGTTTGATTCTCTGATGCAGTCCATATCTCAGGTAAGTCTGTCATGTATAGGACAAAGTTCTGATTGGTTGTAACCTCACATGACTGATCAAAGCATCAGGCATTACTGAGTTTTGTGACTAATTCAAGTAACACCACTAAAGTCTGAAATTTAACACCATCACAAGTCAAAAGCACTCTTGGTTTTTTTTCTACAGGAACAGACTCAGGGAATCAGAGTGAAGAAACTGCCTGCATTGAAGAAGCTTTTTTCCATGGTTAAGAAATATTCTGATGAGGTAATTATCATTAAGATATGAAACGTTCTCATTTCATACAAAGTATCATACATATATAAACATTTGTATGAGCTATATTAATTGTTGTCGCAGATTTTTGTGTCAACAAACACCGTTGTAATTGTCTTACGTAAGTTTTCACGCTAAACCCCACCACTATTAGCTATCATCAAACCTGTCCATTAAGACCATCCACTGGCAAAACAAAGAGTAGTCCTTGAGAAAGGTGACCTTTTTAATTGATAAGAATTGCATTGCATCTAAGGAGCCTGAAACTAGTGATCTTTATAGCCAGGTACCTGTTATACAGGGTAGTATTTGTTGCATACAGGTGGTCTTTATAGACAGGTACCTGTTATACAGGTTAGTATTTATTACATACAGGTGGTCTTTATAGACAGGTACCTGTTATACAGGGTAGTATTTGTTACATACAGGTGGTCTTTATAGACAGGTACCTGTTATACAGGGTAGTATTTATTACATACAGGTGGTCTTTATAGACAGGTACCTGTTATACATGGTAGTATTTATTACATTCAGGTGGTCTTTATAGACAGGTACATGTTATACAGGGTAGTATTTGTTACATACTTGTGGTCTTTATAGACAGGTACCTGTTATACAGGGTAGTATTTGTTACATACAGGTGGTCTTTATAGACAAGTATCAGTTATATACATGTGACCCTTATAGACAGGTATTCCTGATATATAGGTGATCGTTTTAGACCTGTATTTGTCACATACAGGTGACCTTTAAAGGCAGATATTTTTCTATAAAGGTTGCCTTTTTTAGAGAGGCTTTGGGTTAAATGCAGGAAGTCTTTACGGAAGACTGGATCTAGAGATTGACACTTTCTCACTGATCGTTTGAGAGACATAGAATGCAGTTATTTGGGGAAATTCATAAACAGAGATCATGTAAATATACTATCACATCTGTATTCTAGAATATGTCTTTAAATAAGATATACTGTCTTATCTGGATTCTTAAATATGTCTTTTCCTTGAAATATTGTTTTATATATGTGAATTACTTTCATCTGAAATTTTTCTAATGCATAGCATACCAGTAAGTTCCTTTAAAGTAATTTCTACGTAATTTTGATATAGAGATCTTACAAATATATGTACAGAGTCATCACATCACAAACTTCATTAAAGAGTAAGAACTATAATGAGAGAAAGACACCTGTCATTAATCTTTGGTTACCACAGAAGGAGCCTGTCTGAATCCTATACTGTCATTAATCTTTGGTTACCACAGAAGGAGCCTGTCTGAATCCTATACTGTCATTAATCTTTGGTTACCACAGAAGGAGCCTGTCTGAATCCTATACTGTCATTAATCTTTGGTTACCACAGAAGGAGCCTGTCTGAATCCTATACTGTCATTAATCTTTGGTTACCACAGAAGGAGCCTGTCTGAATCCTATACTGTCATTAATCTTTGGTTACCACAGAAGGAGCCTGTCTGAATCCTATACTGTCATTAATCTTTGGTTACCACAGAAGGAGCCTGTCTGAATCCTATACTGTCATTAATCTTTGGTTACCACAGAACGAGCCTGTCTGAATCCTATACTGTCATCCCTCACTTGTTAAAGTTTAACTTTTTTTTTTACAACAGATAATATCAGACCTGGATGAAGAGAGAGAAACCAAAGATCTAGAACTAGGGGAGAAGTTTGATAGTGTTATTCAACAAATGGACATGGTGTGACCACAAGTGTATGATAAAAAGAAATGTGAACATGAAAATGAATGCCCTTAAGAGCTTATATTCTATAGATAATATGTGATGAATTTATAGATTGTTGCAAGCATGCATAGAAATCTGATACTGAGTAACATCACTGGTAACCAAGGTGGATATCATGATACTGGGTGACATTGCTGGTAACCAACGTGGATATCATGATACTGGGTGACATCACTGGTAACCAACGTGGTAACCAACGTGGATATCATGATGCTGAGTAACATCACTGGTAACCAACATGGTAACTAACGTGGATATCATTATACTTGGTGACATCGCTGGTAACCAACGTGGATATCATGATACTGGGTTACTGTAGCATTACCTTTGAGATCCCAGCAGTTACTTCGGGTATAAGGCTGCTGACTTTACACCCAGAAAAAGTTTGGGAGAGAAATCATGAAAGAATGAGAGGATGCATGTGTACAATATGAAAAAAAACAAAATTGGGAAAGGAGAAGATGGGGTTTGGAAGAGGATAGGGGTAGGGAGAAGATGGGGGTTGGGGTTGGGAAGATGATAGTGGTAGGGAGAAGATGGGGGTTGGGGTTTGAAAGAGGATAGGGGTAGGGAGAAGATGGGGTTTGGGGTTGGGAAGAGGATATGGGTAGGGAGAAGATGGGGGTTGGGGTTTGGAAGAGGATAGGGGTAGGGAGAAGATGGGGGTTGGGGTTGGGAAGAGGATAGGGGTAGGGAGAAAATGGGGTTGGGGTTGGGAAGAGGATAGGGGTAGGGAGAAGATGGGGTTTGGGGTTGGGAAGAGGATAGGGGTAGGGAGAAGATGGGGGTTGGGGTTTGGAAGAGGATAGGGGTAGGGAGGAGATGGGGGTTGGGGTTGGGAAGAGGATAGGGGTAGGGAGAAGATGGGGTTGGGGTTGGAAAGAGGATAGGGGTAGGGAGAAGATGGGGTTTGGGGTTGGGAAGTGGATAGGGGTTGGGAGAAGATGGGGGTTGGGGTTTGGAAGAGGATAGGGGTAGGGAGGAGATGGGGGTTGGGGTTGGGAAGAGGATAGGGGTAGGGAATATATGGGGTTGAGGATTGAAAGATGCAATGTGAATGGAGAATATGGGGTTTGGGGTTGGGAAGAGGATAGGGGTAGGGAGAAGATGGGGGTTGGGGTTGGAAAGAGGATAGGGGTAGGGAGAAAATGGGGTTTAGGGTTGGGGAGAGGATAGGGATAGGGAGAAGATGGGGGTTGGTGTTGGGAAGAGGATAGGGGTAGGGAGAAGATGGGGGTTGGGGTTGGGGGTTGGGGTCAGGAAGAGGTTAGGGATGAGAAGAGGAGCATAAATGACTGTAAATGGATTAGAAAAAGATAGAGGAAGGTTAAAAAGTGACAAAAGGTTGGTGGGTATCAAGGTCATAGCCAAAGGTCACCAAAAAGGATCACCAAAAGAGTAAGGAGTGGGGATGGGATTGGGGGGGGGGGTCAGTTAAAGGATGGGAATTCAATGCAGCATAGGCCAAAAAGGCTATTGAAATGGGGGAGGTCACAAGCTGAGAGTGGAGGAAAAGGGGGAACGAAAAGGTCAAAAGCATGCAAGGATAATAGAGGTCAAGGATAAGCCAGAAAAGTGAAAGAGGCAGTCTTAGAGTATTGTTTTCATAAAATCCTGATTGTGATAGGTTGATTCTAACACAAATACGTATTCATTAGTTGTTGACATGTAGCCTTGAAAAGGTTGATACGTAATTGCAATGATGTGTATGATGATGGGATGATCATGCCAAACATGTGTCATTAATATACAGTGTTTACATGTTCTGAGAATTATATTCAAATGTACAATGCTATGTGGCTGTATCTAACGGCTTGATCTGACAATAATTTGTATCTATATACCGGTATATTGATTGGTAAAAGAGGTTTTTGAAGGGTATACCAGTACCATGATTTATATGTTTAATATTTTGTGTTTTGTTTTTAGTCCATAATGCCATAGTCAGATAGAAGGCTGCAGTGGGTCTGTTTGTTAAACAATTCTATTCCTCAGAAATAACTTGGTATCTTAGAGTTTCTAGAATTTGTGAAGGTTTCTTGTCTTCCATATGATGTGCCTATTGAATTGTGAGATTGATCAATGGAACAAAATGGCCAACAGGTATCCATTTTGGATTTTGAAAAAAAATTTTTATGGTGTCACCACTTGAGGAGTGCTGGATGGATGCTGTATAGGGTCTTTGTGTTGGTTTCTGGGAAGTTAAATTTTACCAGATAGATCCTTCAAAATAATACCAATGAAAATTTGTGAAGTCCCCAGTTGTGTCTATTCAGTTTTTAGATTGAACAGAAAAATAAGTCAGTCATCATGTTACTTTATATACAGTTACTGAACTTATTCTGATCTCCAAGAGTTACTTCCCTTTCCTCTGTCAGACGGAATGGCGATAAGCTTGACAGGCAATGAGTACCAACAGTGCTCTAAACTGTACACCTTGAACTAGATGTTCTGACCAATTTGGTGAGGTCTTTATCACAGCTGAGTATGCTATGATTAGTAAAGACGGAATTTGAAGGGGCTGAATTTGGCCCCAATAGAGGCAATTCTGGATTAGAGAGGAGGTCAGATAATCATCAAGTAAAAGTGTTATAATACCTATTTAGCATTATCGTTTTCAATAAGATGTTTGTATATAGAAAATTGTTGTATAAACAAATGATATATTTTTACTGAAAGACATTTCTAAAATCTTATACATAACTTGGATGTTCTTATATTTACTTGTAAAAGGTATTTGATATAAATTAATGTTTTATACTGTTTATACATGTATCATCAAATTTATACCTACACTAGTATATATACAGGTGTATTGTGTACCATCAAATTTATACCTACACTAGTATATATACAGGTGTATTGTGTACCATCAAATTTATACCTACACTAGTATATATACAGGTGTATTGTGTACCATCAAATTTATACCTACACTAGTATATATACAGGTGTATTGTGTACCATCAAATTTATACCTACACTAGTATATATACAGGTGTATTGTGTACCATCAAATTTATATCTACACTGTAATCATTGAACAGTATATATACAGGTGTATTGTGTACCATCAAATTTATACCTACACACTAGTATATATACAGGTGTATTGTGTACCATCAAATTTATACCTACACTAGTATATATACAGGTGTATTGTGTACCATCAAATTTATACCTACACTAGTATATATACAGGTGTATTGTGTACCATCAAATTTATACCT